TGGAGCACTGGGTGTTATGCACAAACAATGAATCATGGAACACTACATCTAAAACTAATGATGTAATGAATGGGGATTAACATAACAATAAAAAAATTTTTTAAAAAAAGAGAGAAAAAGAAAATAGCCTAAATGTGTAGAGCTTTGAGTTTATTAATACTTTCTCTCATTCCTTTTACTGGAGTTTATTAATACTTTCTCTCATTCCTTTTACTGGTTAAAATAATTTAATTTTTGCTATCCCAAATTACAAAAATATGTGAACAGTATATCTAAAACTTATAGAATATAAAACTGTATTTATTTCTCAAGCAAAAATGAATAATATCAGAGCCAATATACTTAATTTGTTTTACAAATAAATATATAATAATTGTTATCTGTGCAAACAAACTGCCAAGTAAATGTGGATATTTAACTTCTGGATCCATGTATTATATAATAAAAGAGGAATTAAACATCCAAGTAATATCTGTATTCTTAACATTACATATTATTCAGAGATCAGATTAACTCTATTTTTTAAATGTTTACAACCTCATAATCAGACATTGCTGTTTTATTAGCTAATATCAGACTGCTGTTCAGAAAATCTTGAGGTTAAAATGACGTAACTGATTGTATTCTTAACAACTACATTCAGTACAAATTGCAAGAATCATACCAAAATAATAAGAACCACCTACCTGACAGGATTGCTGGTTAAAGAAACCCTCAGAGATTCAAGGCAGTTAAGAAGTTTCTCATCTGAAATACCAGATCGTAATTCATGAACATACTCTTGTGAAGATAAGGTGCATTCATGTTTGCTGTTTTTCAGCCCTCCCTATAAAAAAAATATCATTTTAGACAAACAACAGGTTTTAAAATAACGTTTAAAATAAATAATGCATAGAATATGTAAATATTTTACTGCAGAAAAATGTGTGCAGAGTGCTATGCACTTAAAAATTCTTGTTCATAGAACTGACATGGTAAAATCATGTTATATATATCTCAGCACTCCCCTCATCCTCATTTAAAAGAAAATGACACTGCTGGTGCTCATAGTCTGAATAGACTATGGACTTGAGATTAAGTGTCACTGACAGGGATGTTTAAATTTACAATCCAGGCACTAGCATTAACATTAGCTGGCCCTCCTAAATCCACAGGATGAACATTTACAAATCATCTTATTAATTTTCCTAGTTAATATGCTTATGTTCTATACCACAAAATACAGTGAACAAAATTTAATATAAAACATTATAGATAACCCAAAACTGTTGAAATATATCAGAGAATTAGCCTACCTCAAAAAATTAGTGAAAACAGTTATTAAAATGTAAAACAATACAGTCTCCACTTAGTATGTTAATCAAATTAGTCTAAAGTATTCATTAATTCCCAACTATTCCTTCCCATGTTACTCTCATGTTGTAGATTAATCTTAAAAAGTCATTAAATGCATTTATCTGATAATGACTAATTTTTAGCTTATTTTCCAATATACATGGGGTTATTTCTAAAACTCATTATCTCATCACAGCTCCTTAGCTTCATCACCTTGCCATAACTATGTAAGTAGTTTGGGGAAAAGACTGAGAGGAAAACATCATCAATACATTCATTGTACTAGTAACTCAGTTTCACAGATATACAAATGGGACAGTTATGATTATGTATATTACAAACATATTCCTCAGAATTAAAATTCTAGTTTAAGTCGCATTTTCCAAGTTCATACTAATCACACTTAGTTTCTGTAAGTACCTAAGCTAGAATAAAGAAAGCATTTTTTTTTCAATTTGGTAGAAGACACATCATTAGAGGATACAGAATTAAAAAAAAAAAAACCCAATGTGTTAATAATGAGAAATGGATTACATAGGGTTTCATGGTGTTTGCCTTTTATCGAGAATGCCTCCTCAATATAAAAATTGACAATCATTCTTTTTTTTTTTTTGACAATCATTCTTAATGTCTGAATTTTTTTTAATTCCACTGAATAGTGTTTGAAGTCTGATGAAGTCTTTTTTTTAGATTTTATTTATTTATTTATTTGAGACAGACAGACAGACAGCATGAGCAGGCAGAAGGGCAGAGAAGTAGACTGACCATTGAGCAGGGAGTCAGACATGAGGCTCGATCCCAGGATCCTGGGATCATGACCAGAGCCAAAGGCAGACACATAACCAACTGAGCCACCCAAGCACCCCTGAAGTCTAATAAAGTCTTATGTAGGGGACTTGTATTCCCTTATAGTGCTGCAGCACTATCACTATTATAACACTTAAGACACTGGGGCAAAGGTCATTATTTGTGTCTATCACTCTTCTAGACTCAGAACTCTATGCTAAGTATCTAACACAGTGATTCAATTCAGTGAGCCTCAAAATAAGTGTGCTATTATTGAATCTGACCATAATAATTACAGAACAAGGAATACAACTTCACAGTTTTAGATCCCATATTTTGTGTAATGCACACTAACTTGATTTTTTTTTTATTTGTTAGGATATACAGATGTTCAAGACTTCTACTGAATAAATCACGACATAGATGGCAAAGTAAAAACATCACCATGAAATCTTTTCCACATTTCTATAACTTATTTACCCAACTCTTAAGGCTGTAGATCCACGAAGAATGACAGCAAGTAAACATTTATAGTATAAAATGTTGCAAGTCTGTAGTCACAGACCACTTTCATTTGACCCTCAAACTCATTTTCTTAATTAATGGATAACAAGGCCCTACCAATCCTTCCCTGGAGGCTTGTACATGAGTTTATTACTATAGAATGACCTTTCTATTTGCTGCTTTCTCTGCCTGGAGGATTCTTAATCCTGACATCTCCATCCCTAACTCATCATCTAAGTCTCAGCCCAATAGTCCTCTCCCCACCACATTCATCATCACATCATTTTAAATCTCATTTATAGTATTGGCTCAATGTAACCTTATATTGTTTAGTACTTGTTTACTGTGTCTTCCTCATTAAAACATAAGCTCTATGAGGCAGAAATCCCGCCAACCTTGTTCACCACTATATCTCCAGATCTTAACACAATGCTTGGGACACAGTAAGTACTCAAAACATATTTCTTTTTTTTCTTTTTTTAAGTAGGCTCCATGCTGGGCACTTTAGCATGGGGCTTAAACTCACAACCCTGAGATCAAGACCTCAGCTTAACCATCCGAGACATCCAGATGCCCCTCAAAACATCTTTCTTTAATGAATGGATGGAGAGATGAATGAATGGTTAATAAACAAACGGGTGAATATCTGATGAGTTTAAACATGCTGGAGCTTCAAAACTCAGTTTAGTTTTGCTTCACAATATTACAGTTCTGAGATGTTCCATTACCATATATTCAGAAATGCTAGTGTAGAATAGTTAAATTGAGACCGCGTACAGCATCTTAGGAACAGCTCAAACTGTCATTGGGTTTGAACTGTGCCACCTTCACTTATCATCTAGGTAATCTTTGATCAGACTATTCAACAAATCTCTATAATCCTGTTTACTCATTCATGATATAGGATAATAGACACTGACCCCTTATGTTTATTATAAGGATTAAGTGAGACAATGCATACATATAAAGTGGTCAAAACAGGCATTTCGTTTGTGTTGTCTCATAGACAAAGTAAGCTGCTCAGAAATGTTTGTTCCCTTCTACTGTATGGTCATGGCTGAGATATTTATTCCTCATGGAAAAACTGGGCCAGCCCAATACCCTGGGACTCCCTCCTCCCCCAACTCTTAGAAACAGGTATAAATTATATAATTTAGGATACTTTGTGGTTATAAGTACTGGAAGCAATCTAGTAGAGCAATACAAAAAATACATAACCTTATAAAACAAATACCTTTTATCAAGCTTTCACAGGTTTTAACATAATTCATATTTGAAGATTAAGAAAACATAATAGCCTATAAAAGACAAGCTGACCCTTAAATATCACCTGATCTAATAGCATCATTACAGAAATGGAGAATCATGGTGACTGTCCATGGTCACCTAATTAGTGAGGTTACAAGAAAAAAACACTAATATTCTGGTCCTCAGGTTACTTCTTTTCCCAGCATATGTCACTTTCTCCCAATGTTGAATAAAAAATTAAAGAACCAAATATTTAATTATGAAATCTCTATTACAAATGCCAAAGTATCTTCAGCACAATCAATATAGTGCAATATGATGTTAAAGAAATCAAGTAAAAACAAAACAGTGCAACAGATTAAACTAATTCTCACTATATTTAATAGGGCTGTAATATAAGAATGACTTATTATTAGCATGCTATCCTGATACTGAACAAAAGAAACAACTAGATAATGGAGAGAGAATAATGGAAATTTTAATTAGCTGCTCTGTATGAGATTAATGAAAATTACCACTGTGCCCATTTGATCTTTAAAAAAATAATGCAGACAAAGTTAGCAATTAGCATACATCATGCCATTCCAAAGCTAGGTTAACAAAAAGCTTTCCAAATTTGAAGCCATTCCTTAATTTGAAAATCATTAGGATAGAAATAAGTGTCACTGTGACTGTGCTTATATTACTCTAAGACACTACACAAAAAAACAAAAGATACCTTGGGCCAGTTTAATAATTAAATTCCCTTAACTCTGACATGAAATGTTAGTATCAAAATCAATGATATTCTAAAAAAGAACACTTCAGGTTTGCACTGGAGATTCTACTTCTGATATTACAAAATATTTTTATTTATTTTTATTTTAATTCCAATTAGAAAACATTAGTGTTGTATTACTTTCAGATGTAGAACATGGTAATTCAACATTTCAATACAATACCAGGTGCTCAAAACAGTGCACTCCTTAATCCCCACCACCTAAGTAATCCATCCGCCCCACCTCCTTCCCCTCTGGTAACCATCCTCTCTTCTCTATAATTAAAAGTCCATTTCTTGATTTGTGTGTGAGTGTGTCTCTCTCTAATTTTTTCCCTATTACTTGTGTGTTTTGTTTCTTAAATTCCACAAGTGAAATTATGTGGTATTTGTCCTTCTCTGATGGACTTCTTTCACTTACCATAATACTATCTAGCTCCATCCATGTCACTGCAAATGGTTAAGATTTCATTCTTTTTTATGGCTAATTTTTCACTGTATATATATATACTATATCTTTAACCATTCCTCAGTCGATGGACACTTGGGCTATTTTCATAATTTGGCTATTGTAGAAAATGCTACTATAAACATAGAGGTGCATATATACATTTGAATTAGTATTTTTGAATTCTTTCAGTAATTATCTAGTAGTGCAATTGCTGAATCATAGCATAGTTCTATTTTTAAATTTCGGAAAAAATTCCATGCTGTTTTCCACAGTGGCTACACCAGTCTGCATTCCCACCAACAGTGTAAGAGGGTTCCCCTTTCTCCACATCCTCAAAATAGCTGTTGTTTCTTGTGATGTTGATTTTAGCCATCCACAGAGGCGTAAAATGATATCTTATTGTAGACCTGATTTGCATGTCCCTGATGATCAGAGATGTTGAGCATCTTTTCATAGGCCTCTTGGCCATCTGTATGTCTTCCTAAAAATGTCTATTCATGTCTTCTAAGATTTTTTAACTGGATTATTTGTTTTTTGAGTGTTGAGCTTTTTAAGTTCTTTATTTGGATACTAACCCCTTATCAGCTATGTCATATTTGGATACTAACCCCTTATCAGATATGTCATTTCTAAATACCTTCTCACATTCAATAGGTTGCATTTTATTCTTTTTATTATTTCTTTTGTTTTGCAGAAGCTTTTTATTTTGATGCAGTCCCAAAAGTTTATTTTTGCTTTTCTTTCC